TAACAATCGAATTTACAACAAAAAAAATATATGGAATTAACGAATCTAAACTTTCGGCTCACGAAAGCATTAGCGATTAGCTGAAATAGATTCATTGCCGTCAGCAATGAACTCCTTTCCTCAGGAAAATTTCCGTATATATATATATATATTTTTTTTTTTCTTCCTGCAACTCGTTAATGTAGAGTTGGTGAAGATAATAGCGAGATAACATCGTTTACTCTTTTCGAAACACGTGACAATTTTTCAAATGAAGTGTCGACGACACTTCACGAACATTACAATGTAATTGAGCTACAATTGCATAATTTATGATCACCGACGTGAAGGCACTACAGTTCTCCAATGTATTTGTGCCGAAGCGCATCCTTTATACAATCATATAAAAAATTATTATACATGCGTATATGTATTAAAGTTACAAGTATCAAAACTTCATCGCGCGATAAATTCATCGATGAAAAACAAGATCGAATTTGTCATGACGCGAAGATGGGGAACGCTCCTCGAGTTTTTCTTGTACCTTCCTTAACTCTTGATCTTCGAAGTCACATCTCTCGCTCTATTTAATTTCAAGGAGGTAAATATACAGCGCGGAGGAAAGAAAAGTTATTTATATGACTACTTGTCGACATCTTTTTCGGCGTATACGTTGTAGAAAATTCATGTCTATGCCGTAAATTGGCTTCTAATGAATAATAATAAAAACATCCTGCGTGATAAACAGTCTTTTGAGATAGTCCGAGCAACGGTAAGATGGCTAGATTACATCGAATACAGATTTAATCGAACATTCAATTATAAGGTCTTCATAGTTTTATCGATGTGTCTCAACGTCGTTTCGGGTACCGCGTCCGTTAACGCTTTACGAAACCCTTCGCAGCGAGTCAGTCGCCGAAACATCCTTTTTGCATGATTTCTGGAAATTAAAGTCATTACAATCATGATTATGATGCTACACTGAAAAAAAATTTACTAAATTTTAATAAATCATTTGTTTGAATAGTAACTAAATATTTATTAAAAATAGTATTCTTATATCAAATAAATATATGTACATAAGAACTGTTAATGTTTTGATATAACTATCATTTTTTTATTGCAAATAAATATTTATTAAAATTTAATACATTTTTTCTTATTAGTGTATTGACTTCGGACATGAGAATGTATATTACTGAGTCTAATTGTAAATTTACTCACCTTGCGTCTAGATTTCCATCCATCAACAACTTTGCGCCCGTGTTTAACAACTTGTCCCTCACGTCGCGTGGTAAGATCATAATATGATCAGGTCCAATGCGATCGGTGATGTCCGACAACAGTCGTGCAGTCGCCGCGCGAACGATAGCATTTTGATGACTGAAGAATAGGAATCACAATATAGAGATCAGCTTTGTCGCACGGAAAAACGTTTCTCAATCTCAAGGAAACTGCGGACTTACCTGGCTCCTCGAAGTACGATGATACCAATGGTTTTATGAGGCGGAAGATACTGCACCATCTGATCGAGCGCTGAGTTACTGTCCGATCGAAGAAATCGATTCGTATCAGCTGTTCTGTGTAACAACGGTCCAGCTATGTCGTCCAGATCCTAAAAGCAAAACATGAAGAAGATGTTCAATAAAATATAAAAAAAGTGCTTAAATTTCTATGCGAAACGATATGCTTGATATCTACCTAATCAATACCCCGTATCTGAGAGCTGAAAACGTCACCGGCAGCGAGACATGCGGCTCGTGCTACTTGCGATCGAAGATTCTTTATATGTCGCCCTAAAAGCCTTCCTATCATTCCGGCCGCACAGATGTCCAAATCCTCCGGATGCTGCTTCGAGATCTGTGACAGGGCTTTCAGACCTTTCATCGTTATTTCCCTAAAACGCAGGATATAAATGCTGAATAAAAAGTTCGTTAATTCTTGTTCATTAATTATTCCGACAATGAATTATTCAGACAACGAATAACAATGATTTACCTATCATATAATTGTGCTGATATTGACATAGATTTTACAAGATTGACACATACCAGTCTTTATTCTCAAGCTGTGAAAAGCACTGCTGTACCATCCGTTTGGATTTTTCTGATGGTTTCTCCATAACTCTTTTGTTGGAAGGCATTCGACACCTACTAGAACCGCGCACTGGTACTTTTGAGGGCATTCTTCTACGCGGTTCGACATCTTCCGCAGGTTCAGACTGCAAGAGAGTTCCAGAAATGTTAATTTTGTGTGTGTGCGTTCTATTAACGGAAAGAATGATTTTGCTAAAGTATTTAAAAATTTAGATACAGATATAAAAATAAATTTTATTGGACTATTAAAATAATTATGTAAAACACTCAAACTAATTGTTAGAATGTCAAAACTTTTTAAACCCTCATAAAAATTTTTCTTATAATTTTTATATGAACTAGAACATTTTTCAGAAATACTTAAAAATATACTCAGAAATATTCAAAAAGTTTATATTCTTCTCTCGGAAATTTTCATACAAATGAATTATGAAATATTCTGAAATTTCTCCCATAATTTTTAAAAAGTATTTTTAAATTTTTAGATTTTATAATACATTTCAGAAATTAAAAAATCTTAAAAATCTCTCTACGATATTTTATAATTAACATATATGAAAATTTTTGAAAAAAATGTAGATTTTCTGAGAAATATTCCAATTCGTATAAAAAATGTGAGAAAGTTATAAAATTATAGAGAAATTCTAAAAAATTATATAGAAATTTTCATACAAGTGAATTCTGAAATATTATATGAAAAATTCTGAGAAAAATTTTCATCGAGGAATACAGATCAGAAAATAATTTGGACTGTAAAAATAATTATACATATGTAGAAAACTCAAGCATAATGAGCAATGCTATAAAAAGTTTTCATTCTAACAATTAGTTTAAGCGTTTTACATATTAGGTGTACAACTTTGCTTCCGCCGTTTTTCTATCGATGGCTTTAGCAGAAAGTGGTGGTCGAAATAAATAGATCATAGACGTCATACAATAAACTTGGGCATCTGTCAACATAACCCCATAGAGATATTAGTCGATTTGTGTCTGCACCATAAAGTTATTCTCGATTGAAAATGTCAGTTTACGAGCCAAATTCTCGTCATTTGCGGGAGGCTTTAATTTTTTGCTTCAATATAAAGAAATCTGCGGCTGAGGCTCATCGAATGCTCTCAAATATTTATGGTGAGGCCGCTATTAGTGAAAGAACGTGTCGTGAGTGGTTTCAATGCTTCAAGAACGGTGATTTTGACGTCGAAGACCGGCATAGCGGTAGAAGAGAGAAGGTTTTCGAAGATGCAGAAATGGAGGCATTACTTGAGCAAGACTCGTGTCAAAATCAAGAAGAATTGGCACGATCATTGGGAATGACTCAACAAGCCATTTCAAAACGCCTCAAAGCCATGGGAATGATTCAGAAGCAAGGAAATTGGGTGCCATACGAATTGAAGCCGAGAGATGTTGAATGGCGTTTGCTTGCTTGTGAACAGTTGCTTGAAAGGCAAAGACGGAAGGGATTTCTGCATCTCATTGTGACTGAGGACGAAAAATGGGTTCATTACGATAATCCCAAGCGCAGAAAATCATGGGGAGTTCCCGGCCATGCTTCCACATCGAATATTCACGACTCCAAGGTCATGCTCTGTATTTGGTGGGACCAGCTCCTCGTAGTGTATTATGAACTGTTAAAACCGACTGAAACAATCACAGGCGATGGATATCAAACGCAATTGATGCGTTTGAGCCGAGCATTGAAAGACAAACGGCCGCAATACAACGAGAGTCACGATAAAGTGATTTTGCAGCATGACAATGCTCGACCCCATGTTGCGAAAGTAGTCAAGACATATTTGAAAACGTTGAAATGGGAAGTATGAGTCCTACCCCACTCGCCATATTCTCCAGACGTTGCTCCCTCTGACTATCACTTGTTTCGATCAATGATCTGGCTGACCAGCACTTCCGGTCTTATGAAGAAGTAAAAAATTGGATCGATTCGTGGATAGCCTCAAAAGATGACCAGTTTTTTCGACGCGGGATTCGTACGCTACCCGAAAGATGGGAGAAAGTAGTGGCCAGCGATGGACAATACTTTGAATCATAAATGTATAACCAGTTTTTTACAATAAAGCCTCGAATTTCGGAAAAAAAACGGCAGAAGCAAAGTTGTACACCTAATAATTATTTTAATAGTTTAACAAAATTTATTTTTATATCTATATCTACTTAAATTTTTAAATACTTCAGCAAAATCGTTAAACAATTCTATGTTAAAATTCGATAAAGAAATGTCTCTTTGCTATTTACATCATACCTCAATCTTCAATATTCCTGGCTCCATATTAGTTTCACTCGCACTATCTTTACTTTGTCTGTCCTCCAAAGTATCGTTTATGCTGGATTCTTCTTCCGTGGACTAAAAATATCATAATTATATCTCAATGAGAATGTGCTCTTCAATATGCAGTTTAATTGTATAAAAACATTTTACCTCCTGAATATTAATCTTATTATGTGGATTATCATTTTCGACATTTTTCGCATTCTCATACTCGTCAGTTTCGTGAGAATGGGGCCTCGATGCGATGATAATTGCCGGTGAATCACCGACTATGCTGATGTCTATGGGTGGATGACCAACGATGTTCAATGATCGAATGGAAGCATCCTCGTCAGGTACTATGGAAGCGACTATTCTCTCCTCACTCAAATCCTTTGAATCTTCGATCTAACATTCGAAATATCCAACGTTAAATAAAATGCCATTAAGTAAAAATATATATTAAAAGGAACTTGTATTAATTTGATTTAATACAATTTAAAATATGCGATGATCGCGCATGAATTTTACTTGCATTTACTATCAATGATATATGAAAGAGAAATGTAATTCTCATATATATTTATTTTTCTGTGATTTATTGTCTACTGACCAAATTGCGCGAACCACAGCGAGAATTTCGCTTGATCGGCGAGTTAGAGATTGGCGAGTGATGAGCACTGTGATTAGGCGACAGGTACAGTGATTCTGATCTCTTGGGATTGATTGTAACCTTCGATTGTAGCGATTCCTTGAATATTTTCGTGTCTTCGTAGGGTAGAATTCGCTCGTTCGATAACACGGACACGACTGACCTTCTTCGCGCGCTCGACCTGTCGTCCTCCGATTGTTCGGGAACGCCAGAGCTGCTTTCTGTGCTTCTATTGCAATTTTCATCTACGGTTATTAGCTCGTTGTGATTCGAATGCCTGGAAATCGATCCGATTCGACTCGCCGGTTTCATGTCATCTTCGCTACTCCATTCCTTTGACACTTCGTCCACGGTCGATGCTTCTGCCATTGTGATTAGATATTCCATTTTGTTGGTATCCAACGGCGTCTAAAATTTTTTGAAAAAATTATTGGGATCATATAATAGCTGCATTCTATTTAATGCTCGCAACGCTCGCGAACATCGTTTGTCCTTGTATAATATTTAATAAATGACAAGGATGAAATAATTCTACGAGCGTTGTGAGCATTAAGTGGAACACAGCCAATGTCTAATTATCTTAACTTACATTTGTAGAAAGAAATATCTGATAAACAGAAATATCTGATAAAAATAACAGTATCTGAGCTCGCATTCAATGACATCTCCCCGTATTAAATACATTTCAATGACGATGACATTTTTCTTCAGACATAATGTTATTATATAAACTTCACTTTACACGCTCTATAATTCACGATAGAATTCGAAACACACTTCTATTTATAATTTTCTGTATCAAATGATAAATACAATTATAGATGAGAAAATTTTCTCTTATTATAAGAAATATGACATCGAATACGTAGGTTAAATTGTAATTTATGTCACTTATATATGGACAAGATTTGCTTGCCTATCCGATTGGACATGATTCTATTCACAGCTCTTATAGATTTTCAATTTTCATTATACCAGATGCAGTTGACCAATCACACGTTATTCCCTGTACATTGTACATATTTGATGCGTTTTTATATTTATAAAAATAGACTATATAGAGCATTAATTGTAAATTTATAATTCTAATTATTCATATTTTTTCTGTATTATACAATACGCATAAAATTATAAATAGAATTCTGTCTCGCGAATTCTATCGCGAATTATACATTGTCTTTAAGTGGGCTTGAATATCTGTACAATAGATACGTAGCTGAATAACTTCAACAAATTTCAAGTAGATTCTATTTGAATTCTAATCTGACGTTTAATTACCGTAATATTTAATGTTGAAAAACAAAATGATGTGTCAAATGACAGACTCCGGCTAAATTTTCGCTGAGGAAGTAACGACTCCATATATGCGAAAAAGTCTATTACTGAATTACTCTTCGTCGGTGGTGGGCCCTACGTAAAGATTGCGATTTGCAAGTTCGATTTTTCAGCAGTTCAACGCGCTATGAGAGGAAAAAGAATGTTATTAAAAGCGATAATTTCTTACGAAAAAAGAATCGACATCGTCGTGAGTGGCGCTCTGACAATTCGTCGTTTGTTGCGTGACAACGTCGAACGCCGGATCGTCAGCGTTTTGACTCCGCGGGGTCGATGATCCGCTATTGTCATTGCCATTGTAATCTCGCAGTGTCGCGTCCTGATCTTCCTCTCGTCCCGGTTGATCATTCCTGGAAATGTCCGATGACGAACTGCTCGCGCTTTTCGGACGTTCGCGCGCGCCGATTGAGAAGGAACGCAGAAACTCTGGGAATTCAGAACGTTTAGACATGTTATAATACGTGCTCATTGAAGATATATCATTAAACATTTAAGAAATCTCATTAGCAGATTTTAGAAATTTGTTAAAAGAAGGGCCATTGGCGGTGCCACAAAATTTTTTAAAAATCAAATGTACAAAAAGATAGAATAAAGATTTTTGGAATATCAAAATTGTAATGAAGCGTTTTAGAAATATTAAAAATATGTAAAAACATTTTGCTATAAATATTAGCCACTCCGTAGATTCTAGTGTAAGAAATTAGTCTTATCGTGGAATTTTCCGTCTATATGTTTATAAATATCGCGAGCCTTGATAGACATTAATTTAAATGTGTTGCAATTTGGAAGATTAGACGGGCTATCGATCGGACTTTCTGCTGCAGCGCGACGTTCGATCGTACCTTAGACTTGACCAGCGGAATATTGATTACCTCGACCCGCGCGTCAGCTAGGTCTAAACTCTATATGCATGCACAATGACGAGGTGAAGAACCTTTCGTCCCATTTCGCCCCCTGTGTTTCCAGCGCTGCACGCTTCAGGCCGAAAGTCTACATTGTATTTAATTTATTGTGTGTATCTTTGCTGAGAACGCAAGTTCCTTTTAGTACAGAGCGACATTCCGATCGATGTACGAGATCGATGTGCGATACGATGTATCATATTTATTAATCAGGATTCGTGAAAGATAATCATCTATATCCACGAAGAGTGTCTTTCGATAATTTTTTAAATTTAAGCGAAAGAAAAAATATAGATTACTCAGTTTAATTAAATGTCAAAATAAAAATTAAGTTGAAAATATCATAGAGCTTCCTGGCGAACGTTTTTTTTTTTGAGAAAGAAAGTATTATATACCTTGATACCGCGATTCCTCCTTGTTTGAATTTTGTACATGGTAGCCTTTCGCATCGGGCGAGAAGTGACGCTTGTTTTGTGTATTGTATTCCTCCTCATTCACCATCGTCGTCTTATTACTGTAAGAGATGCAGAAATAGAAATCGACTTAGAAATAATTTCACATGCAATCATTACGCGACATATTTCAATAATGGCAGAGTTAGCGCGCAAAATGATATTCACGCGAACTTTAGTTGCATAGCTGCATGTTTATAAGCTGAAACACGACAAATCTATATTCCAGAATAGCAAATCGTGGTAAATAAAACACGATCATATCAACACCAACGTGTCTTTTATGCTTGAGCATATTAATATAATGATGTTTAAATTGACCGATTATTTAATCAAGCCTAAGCTTGATGAACTTTTTTCAAAATGAGGTGATTATCTTTTTGTAGTAACGTTTTAGGCTTTTAATAAACTTTGTTTAATAAGCTTTTTAATAAGTTTTGTTTTACACTGAGCTTTACATTGAGCAAAAACGTATTTTTTGAACAATATTTGAAAAGAACTGACTGAATATTTACTAAATGTATTTAATTTTTGATACAAGAATTATTCATTTGATATAACTATCATTCTTTCATTCAATAAATATTTATTAAGTAATTATAATATCGTAAGTAAATATTAAGTTAATACTATTTAAACAAATATTTATTAAAATTTAGTATATTTTCAGTACATTTTTTAATACAAAGATTTATTAATATTTAATACATTTTTTTTCAATGTATCAACTCATGTCATTTCTCTTTCTTCGATCGATATCATATCGACATCATTTTCTTCTCATGAAGAATAAAACATTATCTTCATCGGCAGTGCTTTCGAGGTTTTCAATATTAATGAACTATTATACATCTATTATAAATCGCGTTACATCCTTCATTCTCCTCAAATCCGCGATGGACAACATACATCGTGTCGCTGTTTCGATTCAATCTCAAAGCGATGACCGGCGTTGTCGTTGTGGTGATGATGGTCGAAACGGACGCATTGCCATCCTCATCGTCGTTGTTGTCGCGGCCAACATCGACTGATTTTCTGCATCGGAAGACACACGGACAACAAAAGAGAACGACGTTCGCGATTTTGTATTCGCCGAATCTGCTTGCCGGTCGTACCTCGCCGACGAGGGCACCGTTCTCCTTCATCTTGATCGACCAGAACTTGAAGATCATCCCGCACAAAACTTGAAGTTCATCTCGCGATGCCTCGTCGACGGTCTCGTATGAAAGTTCTCGGTCGCGGCCGCGAAATGCATTTCGTTTCATCCGATGGATTGACCCTCGGGGTCAGCGAATGCGATGTCATGGTTTGAACGACTTGTTGCAATTCTGTCTCATAATCGTTCTTGCAATCGTATCCGTTTGCGAATTACAAAAAATATCCGCCTTTATAAGTAAAAAAAAAAATCACCGTTTTGTGACAAAAAAAGAACGGTTTTGCTGAAATATCTGAAAATTTAGCTATATATATATATATATATATATACAACAAAATTATTTTCAGATATCTAGCTAAATTTTTAAATTAGGTATCTCAAAAAAGTGATCTTGCAGTTATAACGAAAATTATCTAATTATAAATACGAAATATTAGCTAAAATAGACAAATTTCTAGCAAGTACTTGGATATATATTGCATCTAATATCTCATATAGATGATAGAGATAGAATTTAGATTTGTGTTATAAATTCTGTGCGCATGATACATAATTTTCTAGATACAAAAAATAATATTAGGTGTACAACTTTGCTTCCGCCGTTTTTTTTCCGAAATTCGGTCGAAATAAATAGATCATAGATGTCATACAATAAACTTAGGCATCTGTCAACATAACCCCACAGAAACATTAGTCGATTTATGTCTGCATCATAAAGTTATTC